TCTGTATCACAAAAGAAAATAAATTTGTTAATATGTATTCATGAAGATAGATACTTGGGGAGAAATGGTTGAGAATATAAGCTTATATAATACCTTTCACTAACCACAAAGGACAGTGTGTGTGTGTGTGTGTGTGTGTGTGTGTGTGTGTGTGTGTGTGTGTAAAGGTGACCAGGAAAAGGAAACAAAGGAAGGTTTGTGTAGATTTACATAGGTGTCTTTTCCATGTACTGGAGCTTTTTTGTGATTTAGTTCTTTTTTTCTTTTTGGTATTGAGGGTAACATTCTTCTTTTTTTTTTTTTAATTTTATTTATGTGCATTGGTGTTTTGCCTGCATGTATATCTATATGAGGGTGTTGGGTATCTGGAACTGGAGTTATAGACAGTTGGGAGCTGCCATGTGGGTTCTGGGAATTGAACCCGAATCCTCTGGAAGAACAGGTAGTGCTCTTAACTGCTGAGCCATCTCTCCAGCCCGGAGGGTAACCGTCTTACAAATGGATATTTTCTGCATAGATAAGAATTTCTCTTACAGAAGGATGTCTATCCTCTTCTTATTTACAGAGCTTCTCCTGAATCTGCAATACCTTAAAGGCAATACCATAGGCTCAAAACAATCCTTATGCATATAGAGGCAGCTCCAGGTACCCTACTCAAGCAAAAGGCACAGTTACCATGTAGGGATCATGATCTGGTTCATTTTCTCTGCCAGTTACAAGAATTAAAAGGCAGGGAAGATCTCTAGCACTGACAGGTATCAGTAGAGAAGTCTCGGATAGAGCAAATAGGAGCAGGCAGAACCAGCCGTTGAAGACAGGTTTTTATTGGGGGTGAAGAAACACACACAGCAGGCACACAGAGGGGAGACCTTCTGCAAAGCAGACATCACTTCTTGAGGGCTGGGAGCTTTTCAGCCTTTGAAAGGTCATCCTCTGACACTTAGGGTTGGTCAGTTTGAAGAAAGACAGGGTTGTGGACTGGCTACAGCTGTTGTGTAAACTTGGCCTGATTTGGCTTTGGACTTGTTGAGTCAGCCATTAGCAAGGGACCTGCTGGCAGGAGAAGAAGCCCACAGGCCTTTGTTTTACACTGCAGGCTTTTGTCTCAGGTCTAGAGGATGAAGAAGCAAGCTGTCTTGGGAGTTCACCCTCTTTATTACCTAGTCATGGACATCCATCTCCCTGTTGCCTGCCTACCTGGGAGTCTGTCTACCTCCTAGTCCCTCGGTATCTGCCTTCCATTGTTCTCCGAGTGACTGGTACTGGGGAGATGAGCACCCAAACTGCCGTTAGTTTTGGTACTAGATCCAAGACGGTTTCTCACCACTCAGAGGCTGGTATTTAGTCAAGAGTTGATAGGAAGGAAATGGGTTCATTCAAGCACCCCAAAGAGGAGGACCGTCTTAGAGAACTCGGGACTGCAAATGGGCTCTTAGAGAGAAAGAAGGGGTGGGGGATGACAGTGAACAAGGTTAAGGGCTGGGCAGGGCCTTCCTCATCTTCTTCACCTACAGCGTGAGTCGTATTTTTTTCTGGCCAGTACATTACAGTCCGCCCGATCTCCTAAGGCTAGATCCTATCATTCTTTAGGATGATTAAAAAACACACTGCTTTTCTGCAATTTAAACTTCCCAGCAGTCTGCATGCTTTGTGTAGTTGGTACACAGACTTAACAGTAAGGAGGGGCGGTACACATTTGCTGTTACCTGAAGGTCTCCAGTTACTCTAGTCTGGAAATCAAAAGAAAAATTAGCAGTTAACAACTCTAGTCTGGAAATCAAAAGAAATATTAGCAGTTAACAACTTGATCATTTAAGGAGGGGAAGTCAAAGGGCCACGTGGGACGAGGTGGCCACTGTTACCATTTGGAGATCATGGATTGACTTACTGGAGAAACTTGTTCCACACCAGTGTGTTTTTATAAACAGGGTATAAACAGGGTAATCTCTATCCATCTTTCTTCCTCTCCTCTCATCTTAATTTTACTGGAATTTTTTGGGAAGCTCCATCTAGGGTGCAACCTGTTACTAGAAATTGAAATCCCTTTTTGGAGTTTTTAGTCTTATTAATAAAAGAATTTAGGAATGGCCTCAGCAGATGGGAGAGCTGGTGTGTCCTTGTCTCCCCTAATCCTGCCTGGGCAGCATGGAAGAGCTGGTCCTGGAAGTGTGGATACAGGAGAGCTAGCTGATCCTGGAAATGTGGATACAGGAGAGCTAGCTGGTCCTGGAAGTGTGGATGCAGGAGAGCTGGTCCTGGAAGTGTGGATGCAGGAGAGCTAGCTGGTCCTGGAAGTGTGGATGCAGGAGAGCTGGCTGGTCCTGGAAGTGTGGATGCAGGAGAGCTAGCTGGTCCTGGAGGTGTGGATGCAGGAGAGCAGGCCCTGCACCTCGTTTGGGCAATGCAGTAGAACTGGCCCTAGTGGCCTGGGTGAGGGAGAGCTGTCCTGAGGATGTGAGGGTGGGAGAGCTGGCCCTGCCCCCAGGGCAGTGCTGGAGAGGTGGCCCTGGTGGTGTGGATACAGGAGAGCTGTCCCTGATGGTGTGAGGGTGGGAGAGCTGGCCCTGCCCCTAGCCAACTACTATAGGTAGGAAAGCTGGTCCTGCAGACCCAAAGCTGCAGGATCTCCATGACACAGGGCAGCAACAGGACATCCAAGAGGAGTCCCAGTGAGGGCCCAGCATCCATAGTGTAGAAGAAGCCAGAGGCCTTGAACTAGTCCAGTGACTCATTGCAATGAACACTTGGAAGTAAAGCTGTTTGGGCAGAAGGGCAGACTGAGCGACACACTGCGACACACTGTGACACACTGTGACACACTGCAGCTTCCACAGCAAGACTGTTTTTTGGTTTTGTTTTTTTAATGCATTTTTTTTATCGTATTTATTTTTTGTTTTCTTTTGGGGGTGAGGTTGCAAGGGCAGAGGGCAGATATAGAGGGACAGGGAGATGAGTGGGTTTGGGTGCATGATATGAAATTCACAAAGAATCAGTAAAAAGTTTAAAAAAAAAAAAAAAAAAGATCAGCCTCAGGGAAAAACCCGAGGACAATTTCATTAGAGTTTAAAAGAAATAAATATTGCAGGGCAGGCAAAGCTGTGGATCTGAGCAGCTGTCCAGAGGAGGGAAATGGAGGGAGAAAGAGAGATCCACGCCTTTTGTTAGGCATTCAGGCAAAGCAGTGCAGATCTGACATGGCAGGAGGCAGGGTGGGGCCTTCATCAGAAGAGTGTGAGAGTCCCAGCTGTCTAGGAAAGCGTGTCTAAGCTTTGCAGTTATCCAAAGAAAAGAAAAAGTTCAACAAGGAGGTATGTTGGCCGGGTGGTGGTGGCACACGTCTCTAATTCCAGCACTGGGAGGCAGAGGCAGGTGGATCTCTGAATTTGAGGCCAGCCTGGTCTATAGAGCAAGTTCCAGAACAGCCAGGGCTACACAGAGAAACCCTGTCTGGGGTGGGGGTGGGGGGCACACGGACACGATGTGCTTTTTAGAGTAATTTGGAAAAATAGGAAGACCTAAGCAGAGCCCTCTGGCGTAGTTCCGTAAGAAACTATTGAGAGTGAGGATCTGGGGAAGAAGGGAAGGCACCTTAGCTCCTTAAAGGGATAAGTATTTCTTCCATATTGTTAGCATGGCTTAAGGTGAATCAGCCCTCCTTAGGGATGGTCTCCATCTGGTGATTGACAGGTCCAGCTGGGTTCGCTCTTATGTTTCAGGGTAGTTTGGAATGTTAGATCTTAACCCAAGGCCAGAGGTGGATTGTATTCTTTTGACCCGGAGGAAACAGCTTGCCTTTAATGGGCCTCCATAGAGCCCTGATCAGGACTGCTCTGACGTTCTCACCTCTGAATAGGTAACCTTAAAATCACTGAGGAATGGGCTGAAGTTAGGGAGTAAGTAAACCCCATTTTCACCACGACAGTCTAGAGAGCCGGTTCTGTTCACCAGGAAGGATTGCTGTGTGGAATGGAGTTTCCTCCCCACCCTCATGGTCTGGCCAGTCATTTGTCAGCTGACGTAAGCTAGAGTTATCTGGGAAGAGGAACCCCCAACTGAGAAGATGCCTCCATTCAGATTGCCTATCGGCAAGTCTGTAGGGCTTTTCCTTTTTCATTCATTCATTCATTTATTTATTTTTATTCTCTTTTTGTTTTTTGGTTTTTCGAGACAGGGTTTCTCTGTAATAGTCCTGGCTGTCTGTAGCCCAGGCTGGCCTCGAACTCAGAGATCCACCTGCCTCTGCCTCCCAAGTGCTGGGATTAAGCATTTTCTCGAGCAGTGATTGATGTGGGCTGGCCCAGCCACCCCACTTTGGGGTAGGGCGGGGGTGGGGTAGCGCCATTCCTGGGCAGGTGGTCCTGAGTTGCGTAATAAAGGCTGCTCGAGTCTTGGGAAGCAAGCCAGTAAACAGTGTTCCTCTGTGGCCTCTGCTTCAGTTCCTGCCTCCAGGTTCCTGCCCTGGCTTCGCACAGTGATGGAGTGTGACCTGAGAGTTGTCAGATGAAATCAACCCTCTCCTCCCCAAGTTGCTTTTGGTCATGGTGTTTCATCACAGCAATAGAAACCTGAACTAAGACAAGCCTCCAGATAGGCGTTCATTTAGGAGATAAGAAAACCAGAGGCCCCATTCAGGCGTTCCTGGCCAGAAAATCAAGGACAGGGTTGGGGATTTAGCTCGGTGGTAGAGCGTTTGCCTAGCAAGCGCAAGGCCCTGGGTTCGATCCTCAGCTCAAAAAAAAAAAAAAAAAAAAAAAAAAACCTTAAAAACCAAGGACATTTCTGGAATTGTTGTTTTTGGGGTCCCTGCCCCTAAACGACCTCTCCAGTTTCTACCTCCTGCTTGTCAGTAAACCTGTCATGCTCTCGAGACCCTCAATGCCTATGCAGCACAGAAATGTGCTCCAAGAACTTAAGACTCAGACATTTGTGGCAATAGGAAGAAAAGTCGATAGCGTCTCATCTACGTGTTTTCTCTCTTCCATGTCCTGCTGCCTTATCAGGCCAAAGTAGAAGAACGGATCCAGGAGGTCTTCAGTTCTTACAAGTTTAACCACCTAGTACCAAGGTAAGCTGTGAGTCGGGCTTGGGGCCTGAGGGAACCTTTTCTCTTTTTCCTCTTTGCCTTCACTTAGCCAATCATGGCGGCATTTCCCTCGCCAGCTGGACTAAATCTCTACATGATCGGAAGTGGAGCTCAGGCGGTTGTGAGCCACCTGACGTGGTGCTGGGAACCAAACTCAGGTCCTCTGGGAGAGCAGCAAGTGCTCTTAACTGTGGAGCCAGCTCTCAAGCCCCCAGAATAGTTCTCTTTGACACTATCCAAATTAAGTGTGGAGACACCAGGTAGTCCACTGTAGCTAAGATGCCGTGTGACCGGAAGTCCTACCTCAGCTTGCTTGACATAGCGGCTGACTTCTTCAGACAGTTAAGGAGGCACAAGAGGTAGAAACTCCTTCCCTCATTTGCCTTGCAATGCTGGGGTTCGAACCCAGGGCCTCACATGGACGTCACACACCGACAGCCTAGCAACAACCCTTCAGTGTTCAGGATGGGCAGTCTCCTGAGTTCTGCATGGTCCTTGGGCCAAGGACATAAGTCTTGTGAGACTGCTTCATCAAGAAACAGGGTTGATCTCTCTACAGAGGCCTGTCTGTTCTCTCCAGGTGAGAAGCGCCCGTTGCAGGACCCTGACCCGAGATGGAGAACCTGGTCAGACTCTTAGCTAGAAGAGTCTTTCTCTAGCCTGCCAGGCTGCATCTCTGCATTACCCAAAGCTGAGATCTCCATCAGAGGATCTATTCCTTCTGCCAAAGCTGGAGCTCAGTAAATGACATTCATGTCAACAGCTCGGGAAATACGATTCGATGTTGATTTCCGCTGCCTCCACACAAACCTGCTCCAGCTTCTCTCCCCGAGAGGTGGTTGGACTTGGTGATGGTGAAGGATGTGACTGTTTAGGAAGGCTTTGCTGTCAGCTGTTGTGCCCACAGATGACTCACCTGCCTGAGCTCTGAGTCACTGTCTCCTGCCTGGGCTCTGTGTTCCCACGCAAGGGACCTGTGACATCTGACACTCCTTTTCATTCCCCATCCAAACAGATCCTTTGGACTCTGTCATTCTAATGGGATGAGGAAGGCTGAGGGGCTGCTGTCTGGAAGGGTCCTGTGGGGAGTGGTGAGGGAGGACAGTAAGAGAGACCCCACCTCTAGTTCACAGAACTTAGGTCAGGTGTCGGTGGAAAACAGTGTTCTTCTTGGGCTTGGAACTGTCCAGAAACAGAATATATCAGGTTTCTGGGATTGTTTAAGGAATTATAGCTTCCAATTTTTATCCTCTTTTTTTTTTTTTTTTTTTAATTTTTATTCCCGCCTCCCCCCTCTCTCTTTTCCTTCGAGACAGGGTTTCTCTGTGTACCTTTGCGCCTTTCCTGGAACTTGCTCTGTAGCCCAGGCTGGCCTTGAACTCACAGAGATCCGCCTGCCTCTGCCTCCCAAGTGCTGGGATTAAAGGTGTGAGCCACCACCACTGGCCAAAGCGAGTGTCTTAAAGGAAGATAATTAGTGTGTTAATTGATGTGGAAGATGTTACACATTTTGGCTAAATAGCTGAGTATATCAATCGGAATAGCAATGTGGACAGAATGAGCTAGGGTATAAGGGTCAATCTGGGGCATGAGTTAATGTGGTAAAGTACTTGCCAGAATTCACCAGGCATTCTGGGTATTTTTTAATACCCAGAATACCCCCCATCAAGGAATAAATCTAAAAATGTATCAGAATCTTAAATTAGCATTACAATTTTAACTTTGTAGTAGTCAAAGTTTAAGTCTTGGCGAGGAGGTCTAGTGAGATGGTAGAATATTTGTCTAGCATTATGAGACCCAGAGTTGTACCACAAAACAAAATAAAACAACTCCCAAATAACAACAAACCAAAGGACAAACCCCACATTTCAGACAGAGTCTGACAGTATGATTTGAGAATGGGCCGTGGCTCTCCACCACGCGTATCCAGATGTTGCCAGTACACCTAGGTGACATCTAGCCTGTTTGTATTTCTAAGGTCGTGATGTTGATCAGATGTGACATCCTGTCCGGACCACTGGCTGTGCGCAGGTCCAGGGATGCCTGCAGTGATGCCTAGGCAGGCATTTATTATTCAGCCTGCTAGAACCAGAGCCAGGAAACAGATGCGGCTGAAGTTCCAGGCGGACGCCGAAATGCTGCTGCATTCTACAGCTAATCCCCTTTCCAGAAATGACTTTTCTGTCAGGAGTCGGGTGTATCCTGTAATCCTAACACTAGGTGGGGAGTAAAGGCAGGAAGACCAGGACTTCAAAGTTTTCCTCAGTTCAAGACCAAGACTGACCTGAATTACAGGAGACCTTGTCTCAAAAAGGGGGAAAAAAGAAAAAAAAAGTAAGAGAAAAAGAAAAGATGTATGGCTCTCTCTGACTGTGACGTGTGCACTTGTCCTGGAGTGAGGTAGTCAGTACTGAGAAGCTCCCTTCTCTTTCTTCTTTTTATGGTGCTGGGTTGAATTTAGGACCCTCTCTGCATACTAGGGGCTCTATTAATGCCCTGTCCCCTCACCCCGTGGACTCGGGTCCTGCTCTCTGGCGGGCTCCTTTACCCGCTGAGCCGTCTCGCTGGCCCTTTGGACCTTAACTACTTTTGTCCGTCCGCATCCTGCTTTCTTTATTGTTGTTGTTTTGGAGGGCCTTGTTGTTTGTTTTGGTTTTGGCTTTGTGTCTTTGAAAGGGGTTCTCTTGTTTAGAGAGGTAAGGAACTCAGCATGACCTTGAACTCAGTCCTCCTTCCTCCAGCTCCCAGATGCTGGGATCGTAGGTGTACACCGTGATGCCAGCCTGCAAACTGCTTTCTTGGGCAAGTCCTTATTTTCTGTTAGATCTCAAAGAAACCTGGGGCAAACGGCCAGCTGAGGTGCCTGTTAGCATAAGAGCAGACTCTGGCCTCGTCTCTCTCAGCATCGTTAGTGTCTATTACTCCATCGACCTGGCTCCCTTCAGCGCTTCGCATGCAGCCCCTTCCCTCCCTCCCCCGCTTCTCCTTCCTATCTCTGTAACTCAGCCGGTTTGGCTGCGTACTCCCTTGGCTCTTCTCTTGGTTCTCTTTGCCCTTTGGTCTTCTTTTGTCTCTCTCTTCTTCCTCTCTTGCCCCCTCCCCCTCTCCGGCCCAGTCTGTTCTCTGGTCTGCCGGCCATCTTCAGTCTGGACTCTTCCAGATGCCTCTGGCTGTGTGTTCCCTCACATCCACCACCAAAACCTCTCCTCAACCACATCTAGGAGCAGTTACGTCCTCATTTTCACTCATGCTCCTCTTCACTTTTTTTCCCTAGTCATCGAGGTCAAACCCAGGGCCTAGCCCAGGCTGTGCAGAGTCCTGTTCAGTGAACCACACCCCCAGTTCTCTCCACGAGTCGTCTTCCATCCTTATGAATGGACACTTCTCCAGTCCAGCACCCTAACCACTTGGCCCTCACAGCCCCGAACGTGTACTTTTCCAGTTCATCTGCTTTGCTTCAATGTGAACTCTAAAATGTGTCACCCATGCATGGACACACACACACACACACACACACACACACACACACACACACACAGTTTAAAATTGTCTTCTTGAGGACAGAAGTGCAGCCTGCTTGGTAGTAGAAATAGTGCTCGCAGTGCCCTGGAGGCCCTCTGGAGAGTGAGTGTCGCAGTGGTTCTGAAGCTGGCCCTGAAGCCCCAGGAATTTGGCCTCTGTCGCCTGCTGCTCCTGTGTATAAGTCCCGAGGGACTGGGAGACATGCTCCTTCCCACTGCTGCCTTTTCTACACTCAGTGTCTTCCGGGTCACCGTCGACCGTAGGACTCTCGGGGGTGCTCCAGCTTTGGGGACCTGTGCCTTTTCGATTTTACTCTGCCTTCTTCTCTTGGAGTCTTTCATATTTTTACCCCCTACTCATTCTGCACTGATATTTGAAGAACCTCCAGAGCCAGGTACTCTGTAGGGCTTGGAAAGTGGCCCTGAAGAAGACGGGCCCTGGTCCTACTTCAGCCGGGCTGGCAGTCTCTTGAGATGAATACAACCACCGGTTACCACTGGGATGCCTGAGAGTCCAGGACACATACATATAACTCAGATCGCAGTCATCTTTCAGAGAACGTGACAGTTAAGCTGAGACCCATCAGATGAGTCGGCTAACTTAGAAGTGTCTAGAATGTTCTAGACAGAGGGGACAACATGTTCAAAGTCCTGAGGCTGCAGAAAGCAGAGAGCTTAAATGAGGTTGTGGGGTGAGGTGGAGGAAGAGGAAGCTGAGGGGGCTTACCCCAGAAATATAACCAGTATCACTAGCTGGCCCCCTGGTGTGTCCTTAAAGCCTCCCACCACGTCCATCTCCCTCTGCTTGTTCCATGAGTGCCCTTATCCACTGATATTCTGAACCCTTCCATCATGCCTGTCCGCCCACTCCAGCCTCTGTTTTCTTTCCCACCTGCTTGGCTTTGAGGCTGAACTCTTGGGGGTGGGAGGAGCTTTGGCTTTTAACTTCCTACATAGAGAACAAAAGGAGAATGGTAAGAGTGTGAGTCAGCTTGGGCTATGGTAACCAAGTGAGGACTGGGTGCCGTGAAACCCAACTTATCTCACAGTTCAAGAGGTTGGACCAATGTCAAGACGCTAGCCGGCCTGGTTTCTCCTAAGGAAGGCCTGTCTCCAGGATTTGCAGGTGGCTGCCTGGCCGTGTCCTCACATGGCCTTTCGTTTGTGCTCAGGCTCCCTAGTGTCTTCTTTCCACACCCAGCCCCTTCAGGGATGGGGTCAAAGCAGTACCTCGTGCATGCTGGGCAAGCATTTCACACTGAGCTACAGCCCTACTAAAGCTTCCTCTTACTAAAGCACCTGTTTTATTGGATAGGGCACCACCCTTAGGATCTCATGTAACCTTAAATTCTTTCTTAAAGGTCTTATTTCTGAACACAGTCACATCGCGGGTTAAGATTTAAACATTAATTGTGAGATGGGAGAGGAGGGCACATTTTAGCTCCTAACAGCAACCTTGAA